CCCCAAAACCCCAAAACCCCAAAACCCCAAAACCCCAAAACCCCTTCAGGCAAGATTACTCATAAAATTTGAAAAATATTAAAATAAAAATAATTTAAAAAGCTTATAGAATTCTTAACTAATGTGATCTCATAAATAAAGTTATTAAATATCAACTATACTTAAAAAGAACGATATAAATAGATTTCTCAATAAGCTTATATAATAATAATATCTTAATGTGTTCCGTTTCTAGTTTTAAGGTACTTACCCAATTGTTTGCATTGATGACTACTGTTGGTTCAGTAAGCATTAGCAAACTGCTAAGTCAGAGATAATTTCTGCAGCTTCATATGAGCCAAGCAACTCCTGTTGTTGATTCATACTTTGTTGATATTAATAACTTGCTTGCTCTTAGAAACAATGATGCTACATTAAGCGCTAAATTCCCGAATATCAAATACAATATTCTATGAAAAGCTCGCAACTAAATACTGAACAAAACAAACTACTCAGTTACTAACAAAACTTCAATCCCTCCTTCAAATACTACAAATGATTATATGAGTCAGCAAGTCTACGCTTATCATCCTCAGGAGTTAGTTGCTAGAAAACCCTAAAATTGGCAAGTGCTATTAATGTGTCAGGCTAGAATTAACTAATCCTTCTTACTTTAAAAAGGTATGCGACGAGAAAACTAAAAAGATCAAATCCCTTAACGAGAACCCTGATAAATATGTGACTTGCGATGGTTATCAAAATCCAACAGCTTACTCTTGGATTTAAGACAAAACCAACCACGGCAATCATATATAGGCACTTCAAAACTTGGTTCTGGGAGCTTATTTGTTAAAAGACAAGACTACTTTCAGCTCAACTAAATATACATACGTCCACTATGTTGACGAAGTTATCAGGCTCATCAATTAATTCATGTACTATCAATATATCTTTTTGTGTGGAAAAAAAAGAATTTACTAATGGTATGCTGATCCAATTACTAAAATGAATCCTAATATGAAGTATGGTTAAATGGTTCCGAGTGTCCCCTACGGTGGTAACGCCTCTCAAATGTACTTTGAAGTTGGTCAAGAGGGTACTGGATTTGGTATCGAAGACTTTTCCTCGAAAGTAATGTACCTAGTCGAGGCAATTAACCTTCTAGAGTAGCTCCCTAAAATCTAAACTGACATGTCTACTACTTAACAAGAAGGTATTGCTAATGCCGTGTAGTCAGTGAGGAAGTGGATGCAAGAATTTTTGGATTGGTCATTGACTAGTCTCTAAGGACAAGATGCTAGAAACTAAGCTAACAACCATGGCTCATGGTTCCTTGTTTTATACGGTAGTTTTTCCCATTTCACAAAAAATGCCACTCATCTTACTAACTTTAGAACCTTTGTGGATATGATGGGAGATAACAACACGCTTAATTTCATTTACTTGACCAACAGTATGAATGAGCAAATCAAGGATCAATATCCCTCCTTTTACACTTAATTTGGAGCTAATGGCACTCAGCCTCTAGAGGCAGTAAGAGGAAAGTCATTCGATTATGAAATCTTTAACATGCTAGTATTATGTTGGCTTGTTAGCAGACAAGACAGGTGCAACAATAAAAGGGCAATCATTCTGGAGATTCAAGACATCTGGAAATTACTCAGTTGGCATTGAAGATTCTCTAGATTATCTTTGGTATAAGTACCAGAATGATCTTTTCGCCTCATCTCAAGATATTGACTACAGAAACTTAGGTGATTTGTTCTACGAGTATGACAGAATTCCTACTTACAAATCAACTTAAGTCAATCTAAATTTGAGAGCCAGAGGTGATCAGATCTATACTGAGAAAGCACAAATTGATTAAACTAAAGAAAAACTCTCCTACATTTACAATGAGACATCAATGAATGCAAGCTCTGTACTTTGCTTGAATGGAGTCTACCCTTGAAACAACCAATTTTACTGAAATATCTTGAAATTCAGACTCTTACTCCTACTTTTATTTATTTGCTTTTGATATCCCTAATAGGGTACTTTAAAATATTCATTTTCAAGATATTCATATCACCAATAGAGTACTTATTTTTATAAATCATCAAGGGGTTTTGGGGTTTTGGGGTTTTGGGG